CCAACAAAGGTAGTTTAAGCCATTTTTAAATTAAAAGTATACACCCATGGAAAATAATTTTTGACTCTTAAAGGTAGAAAATTTGATTCCAATATTTCATTTATCTCCCTTTTTTTGTAGAGACGATGAGCGGAGAGACAACTTTTCGACGCTTGAATTTGTGAGGAAATACAACATGGATCATCCAAATGCTGCAAATTATTTCTCCATCAAATACGAAGGTGATTGAAAAATTAAATCTATTGGAAACATATCTTGGGCCCATCTGAATCCTATAGAATAAGAGGTCGTGCATGAATGACAATTAGCACCCACGAGCGATGAAAGGAGGGTATAAATCGCAAATGGCCCAACGTAATGTGGAGACGGCCGCGGCCCCTCAGTGTTTTCACCGAGTGACAATGTAAGTCAATTTTCAGAATTTTCCTCTTTTCTTGCATGAATCAGATTTTGTAAGAGAAGAACTAAATGTGGAGAAAATGCGTATCATGTAGCTACTTTTCATAAAATTTAAGTTCTAAACCAAACGTATCTTCATCATAATATTTTCTCAAACCAAGAAAATTTTCTTTGCACATTTTGACCAATAATGGCCGTATTCCGAGTGGTTCATAAGGTCTCGACACACGATCAAATTCTGAACCAATTCCGATCGAGGTAGACCAGTTGATAACGGATGGTCGCCATGCAACAAACCTCTTTGATCAAAATTGGACGGGCCGTCAAATTTTGATCAGAATGGAGTGTCATCATCTCTGCCGCACAAAACATTTCTGCCATATTTCCATTTTAAAATCAAGCGAAGTAGCAATTTTAAAAGACTAATGACTCTTGACACATTGATGATAATTGGTTCAGAAATTTCATCGTGTACCGAGACCTATAAACAGCTCTTTTCATGAGGGATTTTTATTTACTTTCACCTTTTGATTAAGAAAGATGAGAGCTGCCGCTGCCTTTCCACGTGTGAGTAGGGAAAGGGAAATTTTAACAAAATTTTGGCATCTATCTATTTTATTGTGTGAATGGAACCTTACAAATGAAACTGCAATGACATCCTAAAAGCTCAATTAAAACGGAATTTTCACTATTTTGGCAACCTTCAAATTTACCGCGGATTTTCTTTAAAATTTTCTAAATCCGCGATATTTTTTTCACCTTATTTTTAGTAAATACAGTGAGTTATCGTTAGGATCCACTGGAAACATGAGTTTTTAAGGTATGTTATTTAGACACTGAATGTTCGTTACAATCGTTCTATTCCTCATTTAGGGTCAAAAGACCCCTTGAACCTCTTGAAAAATTTGAGCATTGTTAAGAATAGGAATAACGGTTTCAGGAGTACACAACAAGACAAGTTCACATGGGGGAAAAATTGAAAATTCACTGGAATCAATTTTCCTGGATTCATCACTATACATCCAGTGATATTTTAGCCCAAAGTATATTGCACACGAGTTACTTCAAAAGAAATTCTACAGACATTTTGAGAATACCAGTAAAAATCTACGTTGCATTATTAGCAATACATTGTTTGAGACGTGAGATGAGTGTGTTTTAGATTGACGTCATAATTAAATAAAACTATTTCTGATGTTTGGATTATATTTTTTTATTGTTTTTCAGGTCGTATAAAATGATGAATGGAGAATATCCGGAACGCAATTAATCGATATTATTTACAAAATAAGCAGTGCAATGGATAGAAAAACAGATGTGGAAAATTGAATCTCAAGAGAGAGCGGATGCACTAACTTTAGAACTTGCAACTGATATCATCTCAGGAACTCATTATTAGTAAATTATGTTTTCATTATATCACTTTCATCCTAAGCTCCGTGAAAACATATTTTCATAATTTGTTTGCCCAATCATATATTATCACAAGACTTCAAGAGCCCGTAGAAGTATCATTCGAAGATTTGAGTGAGTCTCTGAGTCCTCAATTGCTAGAGAGTTCACTTTGGACTCAGTAAATGAAAAGGAAAGGCACCTTTGGTGAAAATTTGCTTCACAAATTACTCGAGTGGAGCTTTGTGCAATCCTCAAAAAATTTACGTTCCAGAATTCCAAAAGTTAAATGCTGAGTGCCCTTTGCATAATGGGAAAAAATCAAAGGGACAGTAGTTTCTAATTTGAAAATATATGATCGGTCCATTATGACGTATGTGCTTAAAATAGATTTAACGATGACCTGAGAGAATAAATAAGTACTTTTTCCTCAGTTTTATTGCCTGCAGAGAACTGACCATACTCTTATAACCAAATCAGCTTAAAGTTGTACTTATTTTATCTACATTATCATTTTCATTTTACTTCATACTTCCCATTAAGAGTTGTAAATGGACCGCGTTAAACAGAAAGAGCCAAGCCGCATCAGGTATTGCAAAATTAATCGGTTAATCGGTTATTTAATCGGGTAATTTAATTTTTCACATGAAAACGATTGTGCGGATTTTTGTGCAAATTTCTATGAATTTTCTCCATAATACAAAGCAAATTCCTTAAAATTTTCAAAGGAATCCGCACAAACGTTCTCTCGTATAAAATCAAATTCCCCTGTTACATTTGGCAATAGCTACTGTGGCTTGGTTCCTTTCTGTTTAACGCAGTTCAAATTATCGTAAAAAAGGCTTAAGTGTTATTTTTTTCCTTTAATTCTCTCCATGAAATTCTGCTTTCATTAATGCGTCGTGAGCAGTTAAAATTTTTACTCTTTAAAACTAAACTTGCAATTTTAATACGACACAACGTTCAATAAAATTTAAGCTTATTATTTATCGTGCTTGTTTTGCTTAATACCTCATTCCATTTGATTAGTCAATATAAACAACAATAGCACGGAATAGCCACACTTAAGTGTGGGGTTCCCTTTGAAATAGACTGAAAATGGGAATTGTTCCTAAATAAACGTGGTTTTACAATAAAAGTAGTATGACCTATTAGCAAAGATCTTATTTTTACGTGCCAGAAACCCTGGAATGATTTTACGGATACCCAAACCACGAGCCAAGGAGAAGCAAAACTTAGAATTTAAAAATATTTCAAAAACTCACATACATAAAAATCGCTCCTACAATGCTATCTGATGTTCTACGACACCCAAACTCCACACATGCCTATTTTCCTAGAGGTTACCGGGCAACTGACAACGCAGCATCTTTTAAAATGATCAAACATCTTTTCGTCAACGCCCTGCCGCCAGCCCTTCGTGG